GGGTAACAATAGTCTAGAGTGTGTATAGGGACTGGCAGGTGGGGGTACCCCTCTGTCCCATATCTCAACCTTGGGAATGGCCACTGTGTCGAGATAAATCAGACATTCGCTGTACAAACCAATGGGAATGTCTGTTGTCTCATATCAAGTAACTTTACTGTCATCTCACACAGTGGAGATCGGGTCAAAGAATCTTCATTTTTCGCCAAATTTGCGGCGTAGCACTTTAAATTAAATGCAAACATTCCATAAAGAAACCATACAGCTGCTATGTTGGAATTTAACTGACCTGAGGCGGATCCATAATTTTTTTCGGGGGGGGGGGAACCAGGCCGGAGATAGTTTTATTGTGTCACTTTTGCAGCCAACCTCAAATGACGAAACATCGCATGGCGTACATTGTCTACAACGGTATTGGTGCACTAACTGGAGGTTTAGTATCATTTTCCCCATATTTCGTTTTCTTTTTTGTCTCAGACCAGCGGCGTACTCGGTATCTAGCTTTCGGTGTCGGTGTGAGGCAAATACAAAAGTGGATACGGCTTCGGGCTCAGTCAACATGATGTCAGGGGAGTCGCGGGCCCGACATCCTTGCTTTTATTTGGTAGTGTTTATATTAGGTAAATAAATATACCGATTACTTTCCTACCTATTAAATATTCTTGTAAAAATATCCGTCGTGGGACAGGCAAGTTTTCCCCTGCCCACCGCTTGATGCGCCACTGTCTCAGAGCTTGGAGGGGGGGCGACCCACCTCATCACAGCCGAGAGGTTAGGAAAACGCAATGTCTATACACCGGTATGACACCCTGACTTCGAGTGTCACATGTAAGAGCAAGGTTTTCTGGATTCCATTTTGTTTCTCAAGGGCCTCGAAAGCATCGAGATAATCTTTACTGCACTTCGTACAATCCCTCACGAGAATTTGAAAGTCAGAATCTTCTTCACACATCATCCATACAACCGTCTTCAATTCACGGTGGCCACGATGACACTACTACATTTACAGGCAAAAAACAAAATCAAAATCTGCAGGATGAACAAATGAAAAGGAAAAAATGGGACCCTATTTAAAGCGAATAAATAGAGAAAAAAAACTGCACAAATTATAAAACACCAAGGAAATGCAGCATACACGTAAGCACTTCTAGAATTCATTGAAGTCACAAGAGCAAAAAGGACTATTGAAATGCACCACATCAAATAATGCACAAAATATACAAACACTGAGTTAGTAAGAATACCCTGAAAGTCCAACAATGAAATACAGAAATAGAATTTTCTGGAAATGTAGTCATAATAAAGCACCTTTGTGACAGTACGTAATTTTGTTTACGCCTATACCTCCAGCAGTCACCAACTGGAACTGTAGCATGAAAGACTTCAAGGGTTACATACGAGCCGCACCCAAAATATCGCCAATACCTGCCGGTTTCCAGCACAGCCTATATCAAATATGACAACTTATACCAAGGTTTCCTGATGTTTACATAACAATCAAATTCAAAGACTGTTCTGCTCTTGTCTTTGGCCGTTTCAAAGACATGAAACACAGAAAAAAACACCTTTCTATCATAAACTACATTATATGTGATCTTTGCGCACTCGAACTGCCAGATGAACACTTAAATGCAAAAATAACTGTTTAGAAATTCATCAATTCAAAAATTAATTTGTCTTTATCCAAAAGGTTTACATAATACTGTTTGTGAAATACACAGTTCATTTGGCACCTCTTTAAATCCAGGTGTCCTCAATGTGCACAGATATTTCAATACGCGGGGCAACGTTCAGAAATTTCTAATAGTATTAAGTAATATCCTAAGTCAAACTGATCAATCCAAACATAGCTATACAAATTTTAAAAATGAAGTTTTGATTTGGTTAACAAAGCTTCAAGAGGACCCTGGAGTCAAACAGTTGAAAGAGTTAGTCAGATAAATAAGAAAAAAAATAAGGCAATGGGAAAAATCATGGAATAGAATTTTCTTCGTGCACTGAAAATATCAACATTTTATATTTGTGAAATGTTCCACTGAAACATTTTGCACGTGAATTTAGAGTTTTTCAAATAGGTTGAAGTCTCTCCAAATATTAATTGTCTCTTACACTGAACATTTGGCCGGTTGACAGAATTCTTCATCTCTTGTATGTATATACGTACGAAAGAAGCAGGAAGAAACAGTATACCCCAAAAAATAGTGGTGTATCTGGGGGCTTGTTCCCCTGAGGCACGTCGCCAACTTTTGTTTTCTTTTTTAAGACTTGCAGGCACCGGCCAGCAAACCCCCTTTGGTTGTTCCCCTGAGGCACGTCGCCAACTTTTGTTTTCTTTTTGAAGACTTGCAGGCACCGGCCAGCAAACTCCCTTTGGTTGTTCCCCAGAGGCACGTTGCCAACTTCAGTTTTCTTTTTGAAGAATTGCAGGCACCGGCCAACAACCCCCCCTTTTCCTTAGTCCCCCGCCCCCTAAACCCAAGACCCAGATGCACCGCTGGTTAAACCACAAGTGATATCCAACTTCCCTGAGAAGATCAGGCTTATCTTGCTCTGCACAGGTAAGTCCTCAGTGGCGAAGAGAAAGAAGCCAGCCTTAGGAAACTAATGTAAGTAAGATTTGAAACTTTGAATTGTGCAGGCTAGACTGAGAGCATGTTTGTGGGCACATCATACGTGAAATCAATCTCTTCTGAGAAGAACCTGTAAGGACTATCCATTCTAACGAACGACGGCTGTCTACACACTGAGTCATAGCTAGGCACAAGAGACGATGCACACACTCTACATCATACACAGACCTCGTACACAACAGCCATCTTGCAAGTCTAATGACATTCTCATATACAACAGAACTAATTGACAAACGTCTTTCTGCTGCCCGGACATGACAGTATAGTAAAGAGACAGCAACGACAAAACAAAACATACATGACAAAAATGATGGAAGATTGATTACAATGTAAAATTTTATATCCAAAACTCAGAAGATGAGCTCCTCTGAGTAGCATGTTGTGTGTCTGGCCCCACCCCTCCCCCAGATCTGATGGAATCTGTGCTCCTTCCATAAAGCATTGTGCAGACTTTGGACGTAAAACTGAATGCCTCACATCATGACAGTCAGCGATCATTTGACACCCCCTGGATATGCCTTAAACGTGAGAATCTACAAACCCAGAGTCCACGACCAGCTCAGAGTCAGCCGACAGGAACTTGGCCTCAGGCATGCATGAACTGGCAGCCTGTCCTAATGGACATGATCTGGAAGTACCTTCGGCCTGATGAGTACTTGGGGGAACACTATCGAATTGAGACAAAAGCTCTTCATATTTGTCTGCATCGCTCCCTCGTCCGCTCGAGTTTTCATCAAAGAACCATGAGAGTGCTTCTGTCATTCTGCTCTCAGTAGGCTCACACGGGTCACTTTTGAAGCATCCCAATGTCTCTGAGCAGGGCCTTCTGTTGTGGTGCTCGTACCACGAGGCATCAGCCCGGATCAGCTCCTTCATAGACTCGATGGCCATGTGCAGTGGCCTTCCCATCTCTAAATTCTGGTACCTCTCCAAACTGGGAACACGCCTGCTAGACAGGGGGCTATCTCTCACCTTACCATGTATCCGAAGAAAGAGTCCCTCCATGCTTTGCATTAGACGGTATGTGGCAAAGCGACGGAAAGTCACAGGTATGTCACTGAGGCGAGAGTAGTCAAAGTAGGCGACAATAAACTTCTCGTCTGCACTGCTCCTGCCAAAATAGTCATCAAGTAGGGTGAGCGCCTTGACAAATACGTCCCCATACTCACTCACCGAGTTTATGGGCACTGGGTCATCTTTCTTTGCCTTTGCTTCATACTTCAGTCTGGTGCCTTTGGAGCACAGCAGCAGGACAACGTCAGCTTTCTCAATCTCGTTGGTCAGCCACATCTCGACAGTGGGACCGACGGTTCTTTGCCAGTCCAAGAGGGCCACCTCACACTTCAAGTGCCTCTGTAGGAAACGACAGAGCTGCACGACCACATTCTTGTGTCTTGGGTGATCATCCGAGAAAATTGGTAACACACGGCGGTAATTAAGTTCCAAATCCACAACATTTCTTGGTAGCAGTTCAGGTTGTGGAATAACTGAAACAAAGTGTAAAGCCAAAGTCTGCAGGTTAGCTAGGTGCACAAAGTAAAACGCTTCAGGTTTAAACCTTTCTATTTATTTAAAAGTTGCATAAAATATCCTTCCCTTTCTGAACGGCAACTGATTCAGAACCATAGCGCTGTGGTGCTTATTGCAGCCCTATGTTAGATTTCAAAATATAAGAATTATTAATTTTTTTAGAGAACCAATCATATCGCTCAAGTAATAAAACTCCATTCTGACAATAAAATGCCTCTTGAAGACTTTCTTTATTCTCAATAATAATTTTAAAAACTTTTCAACAACTCCTGGCTTTTTTCATCCACATGTATGAAGTCATATCAGTATGAGCCTATTGTGTCTGCTTTTATATCATTGAGTTTGGTACTTTGTATAATTTTCCAGTTGGAGAATGATGAGGGAGTTTTTCAAATGCTTACTCATGAGATTGGAACATTCTACATTCGCTTCCAGCTTGACTGTGGCAAATACATGCTCTGGTCTATTTGTTTGCCCACCTGTGTAGGTGTCTCCAGGTGAACGCTGGACGCGATGGGCACAAGCAAACAGGCCCGCTCTTTTCCCAAGATAGAACAGCAACCCAAACAGCAGCAACCCACAGACGCAGCTTACCACTACGATGACCCACACAGGTTGGGTGACTTCTGGAGAAAGAATCACAGAGTCAAACTGCTCACCATAAAAAGACGTCACCATCAGATTATGTGATGCTGTCCTTTTATACTAGTTTAGGTTCACAGATAAAAAGACAGAAAGACAGTTACTGAGGTGTCACTGTATCATATTGAAATTTGATAAAAATTCAATCAAAATTCAGGAGCCCGGTGCCATTCCATTAGCAAGTTACATTTTGTCATGTGACTAAGGAGAAAGTGGGACCTCATCATTCCAAGTACCTAAGAGTTGCTAAAATTCCAGCACCTTATGTCCTCCTGATGTGTTAAGACCTAAATCCCTCATCATCTTCCCAGTGGAAAATTCCTTCCAATGACGCTCACCTTCACACATTTCCTTGTCTTGAACTTTGAAGCCGGGATCACAGACGCACTTGAAACTCACAGCGTCATCGGTAAATGTCCGGTTGCACTGACCATGTGCACCACATAACGTGGTGCCCGTCTCTGGGTTTTTTGAACATGGATCAGCTACAGAGACAAAGAAATTACGGGAATGATGAAAAAAAATCAATGCCCCATCCTTAAGCTCACCCAATGACTGTTATCATATCACAACCTACTGCATTGTGCTGTATTGTACTGTATGAAGCTTGTCCCCCCCGGAAGGAAGCTGGGCCCCCCCCCATCAGTAACAAGCGTAAGCATGAAAGATGTATTTTGTTCCTGTGATATGGCCCCTCTAGTTGATACTGTGGCCCCTTAATGCCTGAGTATACTGTACTATACCATACCGTACAGTCATATATTTTTTCAACTTGTATCATATCAAATCATACTGTATCATATTCTATCATATCATAATGTTTGTATTTTCAATGTCACATCAAATTGTATCACACTGCATGTTACTCTCGATCGATACAACTCAATTTGTATCGTTTATTACATAACATCGTATCATGCCAACTTACATAAGCACGTCTTCCCCACATTCAAATAGTTCTCATTGCAATAACACACGTAGTGGTCTCTCGCTGGTGTGTAACTGCACTCCCCATGTTGACAGGGATTGGTGAAGTTGATTCCACTCCTACACGGGTCCACTACATGGTAAACAATAACAGAAGTACTATTATACGCAGCACAGATAGTGATTCCGATTTAGAAGAACCTAGGAGTGCTGCCAAATAGTGTCAGAGAAATTTTTCATGGGTTTCATAGAAATTTTTTTCACAATCTGCAAAGAGTGGCAGAGTTTCATTCGAGTGTCCTGGCTTCTCCATTCACTTTTCCTCTTTTAAGCTTCTCTTTATATTTTCTGGGGTTGGGGTGGGGTTGTTTGGGGGGGTGTGTATGGACAAACCCTACGACCACGTTGAGGTTATCATTGGCTAACACTGTGATGACTGTAGTTATACAGAGCACGTTCCGTCACCGTCATTCCTGTATGACCAAACCAAACACGATGCTTTCCACCATTAAAGGGGGCCATCAGGAACAATGCAAAGTCACTAGATTTGTCAATGCTTACCTAAGCAAGTACCATTCCACATCATATATCCTGGTGAGCACACGCAGTGGTAACGGTCTGCTTCTGACTTGCACAGTCCATGTTGGCCACATGGATTGTCTTTGCATGGATTCTCTGCACCAATCAAATCAGGATTAGACCAATACGAAATATCCTCCTCTTACAAAACATGGCTTACACAATACACTTTCTGCTATTTCTTATAGTTTCTATGGGTCTATGGGATGCCTGCATCTCCATACTTATAAGGATCACTTCTGAGATCCTGCTATATTCCTTACTAAGTAACTTACCAATTATACTGAAATTCTTAGTGAAAGTCCGTTTGCATCCTGTGTTTGATCCATCTGCATTCTTGCATTTCTTGCATGTGAAGGAATATGGTTGTATCTATGGAAAAGGGTTTGATGAAATATGAATAAATATCAAGACCATTCCTGGCTCAACAACCATTCAGAACTAACTACATAACATATGAACACTAAAACAAACTCCTTCCAATGCACATATATTTTCCATGCAGGCACAATGCAGAACAATTGAGCAACTATCTTGTCAGTAAAGAGACTTAGCATTTTAGCACCACGGTCTTAAAACAGGAATGCTCTTAAACTAGAACTGCAGCTTTCTGAAAGAGCATAAAGCTTTTACACTCAAAACAGCCCTCTTATTGTCTTCATAAATCAGTCTGAAGTACACTGTACCCAAACCAGTTGCTTGTGTTTAGAGATTAGCATTTCACAACCAACAGCTGTTGAACAAACCTTAAATCAAAATAAGGCCGAGTTTTAAAACAGACCCTAACAGGGCGACATTCATTTTATTACTACAAAGATTCTTTACTGTCGCTTCTTTGGTAGTTTTCAGTTTACGAGTAAATAAAAGATATCACGGGGCATCCAATTTTATATATTAAATCAAGTCCCATACATAACAAAGTGTTCATTTCTGCACTTTTAAATTTAATTGATTTTATTTGACCTTTTGAGGCAAAACTGAAACAAATCAGATCTCTCCGAACTGCTGTTTATTCCAGATTGGGCTGGGTAATGTTGGAACAATGAATATGACTTACGGCAATATAAAATTCTTTGTCAAGAGGCCATGAAGTTCCACTTCGGGAGGAATGCTTGGAATTGAGATGAACTATAACGAAGGGCACATTCCTACCATGTAGCTCATTGCAACTCCGATTCACAGTTATCATGGTGCTCTGTATCACAAACATAAGAACACTGAAGAAATGTCGTCGGGGAATAAAATGTCCAACATAGATACAGGAGAAGCCTGTATCCAGCAGCAATAAAGTCATTGAATGGGATGATAAAGTTACCGTCATGAGATCACGTCACTTAATCATTTTAAACATGTACGCATCTGTGTTTGAATCAGACATGTTTGAATGTGCTTCGTCCCCCAGAGCTCTTTGCCTGGATACCAAGAACATTCACATTAGTGATGAGGCCCTTAGGCATCATGAGGGAGCCAAGGGGTGCACTTGCCACCCCTCCCTCCCCCCAAAAAACCGAAAAATAGGACAAAGGAAAAAAATGGGAAAAAGAAAAAAAATTAAAAACAGAAAAGGAATAGCAATAAATTTGGTTGAAAATACCGTGAAACTGTCCCTTTTAACTGCCAATGATTTCTGTGTTTGCTGCTAAGTACTTCCCCCTTCCCAGAAAGAGCTCAAATCCCTTCCTGATGAGGTCCATGCTAAGGTGTTGGTTTGCCCCTCTCTTTTTTGGCAGTGGTCCTTTTGAATGGGACCCAATCACATTAATTACATGTAACTCTTTCCCTAAACTTGGATCTGCATTACTAGAGAAGCAAGTTTCCTACGTTGAATCAGATTTCGTTCTTCAAATCAACCTACCATATCTATTAAAGACAAATCGATCAGCTGGACTGGTTTATCTTGATACACAAACACATCATAAACATCGAGGCAGTAGCTATCTGGGGCCACATCGAAGGCAACTTCGATGATATCGTAGTCTCCCTGGTAGTCAAGTGTGCTGGTGTTCTGCTTGATGTTCACACAGTTTGGCGCCCATCGTGCTGAAAGAGAGACACATGTTGTCTAGAATGATTACAAGATCCTGGGTATTACTGCTTGAATGTTAATACATGTCATAAGGATATCGCAGCCTATCACTAAAGAAGCATCACCCGCACTCAGTGCTGGACCCAGAGGGGAACACTCAACTTTTTTTCAAATTGAACAAACTTTCCCCTTTTATCTTGTTTTCATTTGCTCCTAGAAATTTTTGCCAAACACATGTCTCACTCATATGTTTGGGTCCAACTCAGTTTGAGGCATTTCCTTTTGTAAAAGCTAACTTCCCCATGCCACTCTTTTGATAGCATACGGCTTTATGGTACGAGCAAAATTATTTCCTGGTGCGACAAAGAGGGCATACTTTATTTAATTTGAGAGCTGAAATGCTCGTAGCATTTTAGATGTCAAGAATTTTCACGCTTATGTTTGTTAGTAACACATGAAAGGTTGAGGGTTTTAAAATTTGATCATCAGTCTGATCTCTCTGTGTCAGTTTTTGAAAATCTCAAGTCTTGTGAGAGTCTTTTCACATAGATGAAATATAAGTGTTTCAAAATATTTTACAATATTTGTGTTGACCAGACTGAACACTGTGTGAAACATAGGTACACCACAGCAACATAAAATTCAATGTGTTCTGTTTTCCAGCTCAAAAATCATCACAGAAAAGACCTTTGGGAACCTAAGTAAAATTACCATTACTTTCCAACTTTACCTGCCGCACTCTTTTGACATCGGACGTCTTTTGTTTTTGTAGCATCGTTACACCCTAAACAAAGCACAAAAAATGATTTATACTAGAATCACATCCTACTTGAAGAAATCAAGTAAATTTAAGAAAGATGCACAACTCCACCTGTATATCCATATGTACATCCCATCAAATTGTCTCCAACACTGCCTCGGTTTAATGAAGTGAAGGATAAAATAATGCTCATCAAAATTTTTCAATACATCATGGCAAAAGTGTTTGAAGACAGCAGGTTCTCAAAGCCTCTTCATTTACTTTTCAGTAAATGGTTAACTCCACAAAAAGATTTGGTCACCTTATTGTCTCCTATGCAATGCTGTTATAATACAACCATCATGAAGACTTGTATACAGAAATGATTTTGGTTATTCTCCATCCACGTGGCAAAACGAAGAATGAAACATATTGAATTCTGTGACTGTCTTTGAAGGTAAACTTCTGTTATGCTTGGGACTTAGTCTACACAAAAAAGTGGACTTCAAAAAATATGTAAGAAAACAAACTAGAAAATTTTCAATTTTTTTCAAATTGAGAGCTTAACTTCAAATCCTGAGAGCAGTTTACCTTATATAAACCAAAACAAAGTATGCAATAAGGAATTTCCAACACAGCAACTATAAACTCAAACAACATAATCTACATTGACAGGCATATATTTCAACCGCTATTAATTAACAGGTCTAAAAAAAAAACAGAGATATGAAGGGAACATACCGGGAGGAATATGAGGAATAACTACAATAGTGTCATATTGACTGCTGCCAATAATATCCACAGGCATTGTTCGTACACCAACATCATACTGTCTACCAGGCATCAACCCACAAAAGCATGAGAAGGTTATATCCACCTAAATTGGAGTAAAAATGAACAGTATTTAGAACTTACAACCAGCAGAAAACCCAACATATATCATTAAAAATGTGCTTAGCTAGGGGGAAAAAATTGAAATTTCACTGAGACTCTTGAGAAAGAATCATTCACATTCTAATTCTATTCTCTTTGGCACGCAATGTTATTGAATTAATTGTCGACAGCATACAAATTGACAGTCGACTTTCCCGGAAATGTTCAAGTCAAAACGAACTAGCACGGTAGTCTGAATTGCAATTTTCCCTTAATAAAGTCTGTTGAAAACACAGGATGGTGTTTGTTGTAAGAGGTAATACAAACAAACCTTGATAAATAGCAGACAGCGATGATTCATACCTAAATATTGGTTATCATAAGGGAATGATGAATGGTTGTAGGGAAAGAAAGAGGCCACACTGCAACCAGGAACTAAAACCCACACCCAACCATTCAGAGATATAAAGGCCTTTGTGACGCGAGATTTTATTTGGGTAGGGATTGTAAGCCATTGGGTTGAGACAGTTGGCTGACACCTGTCCCCTTACCCTAATCAGAAAGTCCTACTATCTATAGATGATTGAATGGAATAACAGAGATGAGCATCTACAAAGAATGTGGCTGCCCAAAATAGAGGTGAAGCAAAACATGCCAGTTGGTTATTTAAACATAGTAACCATGTTGTCAACAAAGAAAAAAATGGAGCAAAAGGAGAGGTATCTCCCCCACAACAAAAAAGGAGGCACTGTGAATCAGATGAGGTGCCCCTCCCTGATCCGTTTCTGAATGAGAAAGCAGTGTTGGTTGTTTACCTGATTGTCATTTGTATCCAAAACTGCAAAATAGTTCAGGCCGGTCTCGCTGAAATTCAAGTTGAAGCAGTAGAACTTGTTCATGTCAATTATTGACATTGACCGTAACGAGAACTGCAGCCCTTTTATATTACGTGCGGCTTTTGATAAAAAAAAGATCAGAGGTGTAAACAGGTGATTAAAAATTCTAGCACTGTCAGAAATCTAATCGAGATTGATGTGTACAAGAAAACTAAATGTGCATCAAGCTGGTCTTGAGGCTGATATTTCTGAAGCACTTTGTGTTGAGGTTATGCTATCTCTATCCCCTTTGAGCAAATCGATCGAAGCAGTGGTACGGTGGAGAGAGTTTATTTTGTTGGTAGCAGTGTGTCATTTTTGAACCAGCTAAGTGCAGTTGTTACCAAAGGAGCCCCTGTTGCTGGGAAAATTGTGCCCTCTCTTGGTCCATCTTGGGGCCCACTGATGTTCACATTACTCTCCCAACAATTCATTTGGAGTTGACAAAAATGTTTGACTATTCTGTGTCCAGCAGAAAGAAGGATTTAACTTATTACTGCAAACTTAATCCACCTCTTTTCCCTGCTTACCATATTCTTCCAAATTAAATGTGATGTTGACACAGGTGTACTGCTGAACCTCTGACAATGCATCTGATGGCTGGATATTCTTGTTGTAGTCTGTCATCCTGACATTTTTGGGTTTGCTTGGTCTGTCATGGACATCACGTGGAGGCCTAAATGGGTTGTGGCATAATTCTAATGTGCGATAAACCAAACAAAGAATGAAAGTGAACAATTCAGGTTTTTGTTCAGGTATGGTTAATTAGAATAGAAATCCTCCCTTTTTTCTTAGCTTTGCAAATGAAGTACAAAAAATGTTTTCCGAAGCTGTCTTATTTTGAAAAAGGACAATGTATACAACCCTTTGATTTAAAGAGAAATTGTCTAGTATTACCCATTTTAAATCTCTGCACAGCTGTTGGTTTTGTTACTGAATTGACAGAATGACAAATTAACAATGTTCTGTCAGGGGAGGCTGGTGGCCATTTCTGTCCGTGCATTTTCACTTCTGCCACCTGCTGAATCTAAGACCATCCTAGCAAAGGCCAATCAGGAATCACTGCTTGATGAGTAATGGTTATTTTAACCCACAATTTCAATACAACACTATACAGTCCCTTTTCATGGCAGAAACCTCTATCAATCTGCATGATGCATTCTGAAAAGCACCAAGCAGATCAATGGCCAACTGAAAATGTAGAAACAAAACTGATGATATATGCCAATCCGGGTAGAAAGTTATGAAAGCTACGACCGGGCTGAGCAACACTGAATCATATGACTGTAATAACAATCAACTTTATTACCTGTTTTGGTACATTTTTGTGACTAATACTTTACTTTCGTCTAACAGAATGGTTCTGTACAAATTTGCTGTCCACACCATTTGACCCAGTTCTACATTTTAGACCACAATTTTACTTTTTCACTTTCATCAAAGAGAGAAATATATACATAGGCTCATTTAAATAAGTAGTCATCCATATGCTAAGCTCACCATCACCAGATCAAGATTCTTAGTCTTTACTCTGCAAGGAAATTCTGATGGTGTTTTGCTACTGTGTTAAGACTCTTTGGTCCTGCATTTCATCTACTTATTATCCTTGTTCCAGAGGATGACTTTCACAGTATTATATAAAACCTGATTGTACCGGTAAGAGACGTAAGTGGGGTGAAGGAACGCTGAAAAAATGAAAGTAATTCATCAGGCCGAATAAAACCAGGGTGGATAAAATTTCAGTGGGACGAAAGATATTAGTAGGATGAAAGTAATCCTTTTGAAATGAGGATGATGAACACATAACATGCAGGGGAAGAAAATCTTAATACAGAAACCAAATTCCATTGGAATTTTCTCTTCAGCACCAGCAAATAAAGAATAACAAACTTCCAGCAATGCATTGGTAGATTAGCATATTGATTACTACTTAATTTCACCAAGCCAAGAAATGATGGAACTAAACGAAATTATAGGACGGCAAACAAAAAAACAACTTTGTTACGTCATGCAATATCTTCCTGCAATCTATATAGGTGTTGGATTATGGACATCTTGGAGGTTCACGGTAACTTTTTGTCATTCAGACTTACATACCAGTTGATCCATCTGGCTTACTGGTGGTCATTTCACAAAATTGTCTTTGGGGAACACCATCCTGTCAAAACACAAAGAAAAACAAAAACCTGAAAATGTGGCACAAGAGAGAGAGACGGAAGCCCAAAGACTACGACCCACTGATCAGATGGAAAGATGACAGGTTTTTGGGTATTGATTTTGGGAAACAGATTTGATGATGTCATCTGATGTTTTTTAAAAGAAAAGACAGACAGATCCATGTCTACAAATCCCTGAACACAACCTTCCAAAATTCAAACATACATGTCTAATGTTCTACTGGAATGAATTTAGGCCTAGAGCATCAGACATTTATTTATCCTTTCTCTAGACAGGATATTTAGTTCATGATATTTTTGTAGAGTGGGGGGAGGGGGCGGGGAAAGGAGGGGATAGCATCAATAAGGGACCTTTTACCAACTGTTCTGGCTGCTACTGCATGGAGAGGATGATTTCTCTTGTTATAAAAATTGGGGTTGAGTTATAGGGGCAGGGGGTGTTGTAAGTTGAATCTCATATTCAAACTATGGAGGACAAAAAGTGGCCATCTGCTTTTCTGCCTTCCAAGGGCCGTGAACGGGGTCGTGAACCTCAGGTTATGACCATTTCCCTTCTTAGGGATTGAAGACATATAAACCAATCATTACAGTCCACCCTATCTTTTATGATGAAACGTTCACGTTTTCCTTGGCCCAAGCAAGCTTGTGTGTCTATTGGATGATAGTTGTAAAACTGTATTGCCTTTGAGATGCTGTTTTCTCTGCCTCACAGCGACACTGATACTGCCGTATGGGATTGGTCCAAAGCAAGCATATTAAGTATTGGTTTCTATATGTCTTCACTCCCCCAGAACGGAAATGGTTGTAACCTACCAGTTCATGACCCCATTCACGGCCCATTGAGGACAGAAAGCAGATGGCCACTTTTCGGCCACCTTTGTAAAATCTGCTTTTCCGGTATCACAAAAGCAGAAAAGTTGAATTCACGGTTATCGTCAAAACGTTGAATCCACTTTCCTTGTCTGACAGGAAAAAAAGCAGATGGCCACTTTTCAGCCACCATCAAAAAGAAGAAAAGTAAAACTACCCTTGTAGCAGCAAAAAAGCAGAGAAGTAGAAAAATGCATTTCAATAAAATGGTCATTCTGCTTTTGAGGGAGCAGAAAAGTAGAAATGTCAAAAATCTTCTTTCCTACTATTCTGGTAGCAGAAAAGCAGATGGCCTCTTTTCATCCTCCATAATTGAAACCCATGACAATTGTTAGTCAACGGGTGCAAGTCCTCCCTAACAGCAATAGTAGCAGAAGGCAAACTTGCGCGTGACCACTGCAGCATGCATTAATTAAGGGCTGACTAAGGATTTACCCTTTTGAATTTAGAGTTATTGTACTTCTGTGCATGAGCTGTTTCATGATGCACAAGGAAATACACATAATAGGATTAGTCCGCATTCAGGTTGCTGAGGTGCAATGTACTTTGTGACTGTTTTTCCTCCTGGGCCAAAAGTACAAATACCTCTAGAAATAATGCTATCAAATAATGATACAATTCGGGTGCCACATACTTTTGTCTCTAATTTTATTTTAACCCTCGAAGTCCAGCTACAGAATGGCATTCCTACGACTCCAGTTTATATAGGACTAAGAAATGTACTCAAAGGCAAGTTGAAGCTGCTGAGACAGCCCCAGGGTTTTGTTTGGATGCACTGGCCATGCAAACTAACCAAGACAATTCCTGTTATGAAAAAAACCAAGGAAACTCTACTCTTCTAAGTTCAAGCAAAACTGAATTGTCACATTCATTTAAAGTGGCAAACAGAACGTCTCCAATGATGATAGTGATTTTGATGTAAACTCTTCAGTACCTGTTATAAAGTTCAAAGAAATACCTTCCTAGAGGAAAAACTCAATATCCTTTTAGAGGTAGGCAGCAGTGTTTGATTTCACATAATTTATGTGACAACTAACCTTGAAAACATTCCAGACCATTTTTCATCCAGGTTGTTAAAGTTTCACTTTAATCTCAAGCCACAGTTTGATTCAAGTCTGAGCAGCTACAACGAAAAACTGAAACCGGCAAAAAAGGTCTTTATTATCATCTTTTACATGTAAACCATTAAAAACCTTTTCAACTTCAACATCCAAACCGAAACATGTGCCAAGTCACTGACATATTGATGATCCCCCCCCTTTACTTTTAAAGTCACTCCCCTCAAATAAATTCTACCAAACAATGGATAGGCCTACCATGCCATCCAAATCTACACTCCTAGTTATTGTACATGAACCTGAAAGGTTCCACTGATGATCGATGCCTGAAACCGGCACATATGTAGAGGAGAACAGTTCTTATTTTCCACTATACGAAGCCCATTGAAATGGCTTTGAGTGTGAAGAAAAGATGACAGAATGGCAATCCATATTTCAGTCCATTTACAAAGCCAGAGGTGGGCATGAGGGCATTGAGTTGCTTGTTGCATATGCCCAGGGCATATATTACGTATGATCATTGGCAAGCTGTGGCAGATTGGGCTTACATATATCCATTATCCATCAGTTTTCCTTTCAGTTCCCATTCGCCAGCGGCTATAAGTGGGTGTACACATGCACTACCAGATCATTCAACTACTCACTACTAGAGATTTACATCAATTAGACACCTGACTGCATTTATCTATGAAGCTTGCGAAACAAATGCACACAAATCTAAGCCATCTGCCTTCCTAATTTGGAAAATTGCGTAAAAGTGAAAATTTAAAAATGGAACAGAACTTGGGCTTCAGAGTCAGGACAAAGTCATCAAGGGGAGAGTCAGAGCCAAATTTTAAGGGGTGCACAGTTGTTTAGGGGGAGGGTCAAAAAATTCAAACATTTGAATGTGAATTGCTTAACCTTTTACAATCTTTTTGAGTGGTGAGGCTGTTTACATGCTTTTGGGGGAAGCAAAACAGCACCCCCCAAAGAACTTCCTTTTTGTCAAGGGTCAATTGCCATCCCTGATAAATTCAATGAGCTGGAAATGGAACAACTCAATATCAGAACTCTATATGCCCGAATGAATCACTGTGAACACTGTGGTATACTATCTACTACCAACCACAAGCTTAACCATGGGGTACTATACTTGCATAAGAAATACCCACAGGCAGAATGATTTGCACTACCAAAGGCAGTTTAGTCTTTTTTTTTGCCAAAAAACAGTGTACAAAACAGTTTTATTCCAAGGTTTCGGTATAACTGTTTTCCCTCCCTGGTTTCCTGTCCAACTCAGGCATCAAACTGACAATAGTGCACAATAGTCCAGTGAACCCTAGATTAGATTTTGTCTCTTCCTAATTTGGAAAAATACTTGTGGGGCATGTTTTCATTGTATAAGTGCATGTATATCTTAATTTAGTAGTTTTGCAGTAGTTATAAATTTGCTAACTGTATAGTTACTCATATTTTTTGAGTATTTTTTAATAACTGTGTTTTATCCATCCATATTCTTAGCACTAATGATTGTATATTAGAAACGAATAAGTAGTAGAAAGAATAAATAGACATAACAGTAGCAAATGAAACTGAAAAATGAACAAAAATGCGTAAAAACATCCTCTTTCAATTCTTGTGATGTTGGATACAGTTTCTTAGAAGCGAAAGCAAAAGAAAAACCTACAGCAGAGGTTTGTAAAAATTCTAGATATCTTGGCACAGTTCACCAATTTGTATTATTTCTGAAAGTCAGTTGGCCTCAACTATTGGCCAATTGTTAGCAAATGCATTGAAAGATACTCAAGTGCTTGATATGACACATGATGGAAGACAAAAGGAAAGTATATTTGGCCTGTAGTAATTAGAGGCTGCTTTGAGGGGGTGTTCTAACGACTAATGTACCCCAACCTTTCCTTTTGCTCTGACCATTGTCAATTGTTGACAAGCCCAAATTCAAAATTTCTTCAGAAGTCAGGTTAGTTTGACAAGGTCGAATGGAAATTAGCTTGCAAAATGTCCATGAAAATCAATAATTTCATGCACACTACTGCAAAGAACAAACCTAGTCTGCCTCTGTAAGTCTTAGGTTCAATTCATGAATACCTAAGACAGTTCCAGCCATTATTGTTGAGAGCCTGTCAGGTGACCAGTCTAAAACAGTTGATAAAGCACTGTCTGGCTGTATATCGCCTCACTCGTTAAACATGCCACGCACATCTCAATCTCCATGAGGAGACTGCCCCTTGAGAGGGCTGGAAGGGAGCTTGAAAAAAAATGAAATAAAACTGTCGAAGAAAAATCCTTGTTCTATGTGACTCAATAGGGGTATGAATGGGAATAGTGTTTGGCCAGTGTTTCAGTCAGCTTAGGGGAATGAATACTGATTATGTTCATTGCCTTTGGCTCAGGCATTGTCAGAGTCTGTTTTCCTGATCCTGTCTGAAACGGATGACATGATGGATGAAAGACTGGCCAAGGGCACATTTGTTTCCTTATTAAATGTCTCGTTCAGCTTCTTCCTACGAAATACGGCATCTGTTGCAATTGCTTAATTGCTGTCATGGGAAAAAGCTGTTGTTTTGTGATGGACTTCATATTGGTTGAGACTAATAAGACGCACCCTTTTTGACCAGTGTAAAGAAAGACAGATACGTAGAGGGTACATGCCGCATACATGCTGTCAGCCAGGTTGAACATCATGGGCCTTCATAGCAAGTTCCAGCTGTCACTTTTGACTGAATAATGGAAGTCTTGAGGGTCCACAGGAAGCCGCTGTGAATGATGAGAGGATGATCCCTTTCATGAGTGATCCTCACTGTGCTCTTCTAGGTTTTGGATGTGACGCCAGTAGCTCTTTGTCAAAATGAAATTTTATCTACCTTTTACTCATGGCTGCTGAAAAGAATTGCCAAGTTTCACTCCACTTTTTCCTCAGGAGGTTCAGTGGACGGATGATGAATGTGGATGGCATGGCTTTTACTTGAGACATTCCCACAGCCTGGAATCCAGCGGGAACATTGGACAAAAACTCTTCGAGCCACATGATCCCTGACTTTCATTCAGACCACAAACCAGCCAATAATCTGACCTTAATTATTTATCGCTAGGAAAAGATGCCACAGTCCTATATCAATTGGATGCTTTTGGTTGGGCTTAATATGCAACATTAATTTATATTAGTTCATCAGGTGTTTACAAAATTGGTGCTCAAGTGGTTAAAGCAAACAAAAAAATTAACTGTAAAATCACCAGTGCTTGGACATCTATCACCAATCATCAGTTGTAGTCATTTCACCTTTGAGGTGAGATTGTGCAATGGTGCAATTGCAATTGTGCATTGTGCAATTAGAAATGCATTTCACTCAAGGGAGCTTGGTGTTAGGTGTACTTGTTTGAGAAGTGAAAAACTAGACCAATTTGTAATGGACATTACACCTCTGCTGCTCCTATTCACCACAATATCATTTGTCTGCTTATGTCCCATTCTCCTTTTTATTGTTGCTTTCATTGTAGGATCGTTTCCAGATGGATTCGTCCTAGGTGTGGGATTATTTCAGGCCCTAAAAATCCTCCGTTTTAAAATGATGAGAGAGCAACAATAATTTATTAAGTTGGACTTTCACTACAAGATTTGTACAAGGTTTGTGAAACTTTCTTCCCATAAGTTCATTTGTTCAAAGCACTCTCAGACCCCTTTGTAGAGTGATATTTCTGACAACGCAGACAATGGTACAGCAGCCAAGTTTAGCACATATTCAGCCATGCTGCTACAGAAACTAACAGAAATTGTTGTGACGGTCTCCGTTGTGAACTGATCATACTATGAACACCTAACAAAAGAAGCATAGAGCAATAACAATGGACTCTCATTGTTAGTGTACTGTGTTTCTTTTGTTAGATGTTCGTAGTGTCATGTGAGAGGGCGGAAAAGCCAGGCACTGATGTATTTATGCATTTCAGTCATTCGCCTTGCACGAAACACCTCATACAAAAGCCCACGGCTGACTGCCAATCAGTGTCGCTAAACAAAGGATTTAGTTAAACACACCTATCCCTGAGAAAAGCCAAGTTCTGACGGGTGCTAGATTCTCATATAAGTAATTCTGATATCACTCTATCTGTGCCTTCAATTGTGAAAGATGTATTTGTGATGGCCTGTTTGGGATAGGAAATGGACCACGGTGAAAAGAAAACACAACTTGATCAAGGCAGGGAAAAAACTGTGCAAGAAGTAAAATGAAATCCTGTTGCCACCATTAACTTTTACGGACCATGGTTTTCAACAAAGCTCCATGAATCTCACCTCTGATATTATCCAGTTTTCCCAAGAGTCATGACAGAGGCTGACTGACACTTTATTCATTTTCCAGAAACTGCTAAACTTTTCTCTTCTCGATATGTATTTAGGCTCTGCAGGTGTCAAAGTTTAAACTATGTCCAACAAATATGTCAGAACCACCATATGAAAATCCATTCAATCCACTCAATGGAAAATCATCCTGGCTGTTTACTTCATTACTACATGTACATGTATTTCTAATCAAGTACATATATACACGTTTTTCTCTGATAACATCTCTGTTCAGTATTCAAATCAACACTCAGGAATCTATGTATTGGAGCCATAGTTTTCACTGTCTCTTTAAAAGCTTTTCTCGAAGCTGCACAAAAGATGACGTTTATGCTCATACAAAATGCTGATGTGACTTTTGCTTTCATGTGGCGTTGCCTTAGCAACTGATGCGCTCTGATGACCTGTCCTGCCTCGGTCAATGTTTGAATACATGTAGGTCTGTGCCTAACTGCCTACTTTTTTAGATGTTGCATGCAGCTATGCAGCAATTGTTGGCGGACTGGCTCTGATGGGCAATGTTACAAAATACATGTAGTGCACTCAATATTGTATCAAATTTATGTAAAGTATTTAGATTCACTTCTCTTTATCAATGTAACTCAAGTTCAGTTCATTTCATGAGATCACAAATTGAAAAGGTAATTATGTTCAATAAAGATATACACAAATTTCGAATCAACAACCAAATTTCTTATGTTTTTTATAAAGACCTTCCCATACATTGAAGTAATTTTTTAAAAAGAAATGGAAAACAAAAATTAGTAACAATTACTAGCATCTTCAGACAAAATACAGACAATAATATGGTTTGGCACACAAGCAAATCAACAAAAGGTGACTAAATGCTGAATGTTGAATTTGACAACCAAGATATGATGCAAATTTCTATCAGGAACTGAAAGTGCCAAAATACAAGAAACGATGATAACACCCTCCTTGGAATTGAAAAAAAAATTGATAACAATTTCAATAAAGACATCTGTTTTGCCTCAAAACATGGACTCACAATTGGTTTTGTTACAGCAGCACTGTTAAAGTAGGAGAATACAGTACATTCTTTCAATGATGTACACATGGACATGTATAGGAGGGCACCATGCAGTATCAGGTTCCTTTGTTTTTTTTTTCTGTTGTTGATTTTTCCTTCAATTTTTGTATGTCTTCATGATGAACGTTGTACAATATTGGTCTCTAAAGGCAAGGAACAGAATTTGGGTTATCGTACAATGTTCACTGAAGAATAATTTTGTGAAGTGGACCAGGGAGGGGCGGAGATAAATCTACCTCCTTGGGTCATTAAAATGAAAGTTAAAAGTTACAAAATTATGAACAGGCTAAACGCCAAGCCTCAAGCGTCCTCCCTGTCCAAGCAAAAATCTGCACCTCTCCCAAAATATTACAAGTCACAGAATACAACTTATCATGGCAGATGAAATCATGTATGCGTGTACATGTACGCATAAGTTTGCAATGTCCATGAAGGTCCAATATGTCTAAACAGTCGCATGGTTGACTTAATCTTCCATTGAGCTGAAAAAATGCAGCACACTTTCAATAGGATTTGTAAAGCCCAACGTTCCAAGCCAACCTCCCTTCCTTTTGAATGCAAAATACAATTGAATTCAATCTCTTCCCATGCTGCAGTGGCACAACAATGCAAAACATGGCAGCCATGGTGCAGTGTGGAACTTGCCACATTTTTGACCTCCTCTGTCACAGTATTTTCTCTCAATCCTTTGGATGAGCAGAAAGGCATAGAGCAACTGACCATGACTACAGCAGACTGCTTCACGACAAGTTCATTGTAAATCTATGTAAATGGCCTAGAAGGGTGTTTTGAAGTTTATGGAGGCGTGAATACACAGCCAGGATCAGGGTAATGCTTTCAGAAAAAGAAAATGGTGAATCACACACTTTTATGTGCACATAGATGATGGCTGTTGAGATTTGACTTTAACCACTGAGAACTAATTGATGGTACCGGTACATGTAAGCTTACATTCTGTTAATCACCTTTGGGAGTAATTACCTACCAGGAGGATCGATATCATGCACTTACAAAGTTTATAGAAGAAAGACTTTGTTCTATTACAAAGACCTGTTCCGTTACATGTGCACATGTTTTCAGCTTGGGACAGGAATACATGATTTTCAGAATTTCTAGCTTTTATTCAGTAAACTCTTTGAACTATTTCAACAAACTGCATGTGTGATATGGAATACTTTATTTATAGGTCAGATAAAAAACTATCAGCATTTACATCAATCCAGATATTGAAGCAGGCTGATAACTTTCTGCTTTCAGTCCAAAGGCTCATTAACCATGCCACAAAGACCTCTGAAAAAAGGAGTCCTATAGAATGATTTATCTGTTCACCAACTCCCATCCCCAAGGCTGGATTTAAATTTGATTTCATCCATATGATCAAGTATTTTTAAAATGAACTTGCAAAAAAGCCTTTCCTGTTACTAAACGGGACAAAGAGTTCATTGAAAAATGCTGTAGTTCACCGACCCGGATTCACAGAGCAAATGCATGACAAAGCTGATGGGCATCAGTCATGCAGAGACACGTCCTCTTTAACTCACAGAAAGGACAGGGATTGCTTGTTTCCAAGCAATTCTGTGCACTGCAAACCTTTGCTTGAAGTGGTGTTATACGGGTGGCAAAAATTAAACCAGGAAATTTCAATGTATTCAACAAAGAAAGAATATTTTTTCCTTCAAGCAGGATGTAATGTTCTTTTCACACAAGGGATATCTAAAATGAATAGAAAAAAACACCCAATTCTTTCATTACCAACTGCTCTTGTACAAAAATAATCTTTACACACCTGAGAGTATTGTTCACATTATTCGCATTAAGTTCGAAATATTCAATCCCATGAAATAGGTCACATGCAGCGATGAATTAAGCATATCTTGGCCTTAGGCACTAGTGTTGTATGTCAAAGTTACAAGGATCAATTTCATAATGTTGGTAAGGAGCCTATTCATGTTGATGTTAGGCTGTGCTAATCTCTGCTAGCTAATTTGATTTCAGCTCTCCCAAGCATTCAAAAAGGAATTCTAAAAAGTGAAATAATGTATACATGCTTACAGTACAGCAAAGTGTACTGCAATTTTTTCTGGGGTCCCAAATTTTCTGTACACTTTCTAAATTTTGAATGCTTTTTGAAAACATCAACTTTAAAATTTCTTAATGATTTGGTATATATGCGAAAGGGTCCGCTATAGGCCTATTTCCACAAACAGCCGGATAATGTTCAGTCTGCTTTATTTTAGGCAAAGTTTACCTCAGTATTTTATTTGTGGCTTTTTCACACGAGTATACTACAAATGTAGTTGGGGATGCAGACGTATTGAAATTCAAAATATTCTAATTACTCACTAAATCTCATCCACTTCAAATTAATCCACACGGGTAGCGGCTGATCACAGATTGATTTTCATTGATTCCAAAGGAACTGCTTTACACAGAGTTCCAGCACAAGCCCCAACTTAAACTTCTTTAAGCACAGACCCCAAACTTTGCAAGTAATTTCTTCGTCATAAATTTTCCCATTTTCTGGTTTTTCAAATATAAATTAGTCTGGCTAAGTCTGTACACTGCAGGGTATTCTTGAGAGTTTGGTGATGGTAAAGACCACCCATCTTTGGCCACACCCTTCCACTGTAAAAGAAAGTTGTTTGCACACATTTATCCACATTTATTGATACTGCTTTTGCCCCACACCTTTAACATCAAGTGGGATCTATCGTCTTAGAAGGATTTTTGTATCTGGCCACGTATTCTTCAGCTTTATGAGCACCATCAAGTTTAAAAGTAAATTTCCTACATGTCTGTCTCCCTCCGAATGATGGACAGCATGTATTGCTGTGAGAAATGAAAGAGTTCTGGTGGAATTTGTTCTGTTTGGTGGCAAGTGTGGTAAGGGGCTGACCGAACCCCGTCCAAGCACAGATCAGAGCTTACTCACCTTGGAATCATTGATTGCCCGATCAATGTAAGGCCACGAGCAATCAGTAGCGCAGTCCGGGTTAAAGAATGGGGAGTAATGCTGCCCATGGGCGGCTTGTAAAAGGATGCACGCTACGGTCACTACGCCGGCGAGTCTTATCCTTGAGCATGATGAGAGAGGCGCCATGTTTGATGTTCGTCCCGATTAGTTAAAAAGTTGTGAACGCCGAAATTGGCAACGAGAGTCAGTCAAAAAAGCATGACCACTAGCCCTAAATAGGATTTTAGACACACTTGCGTCAAAGGACAGCAGCCAAAGCCAATTTAACTTGCGATGACTTCGACCCGGTAGCCAGCCAATCCATTAAGGAAACGACAACACCCATATCGCAATAACTGGGTTCGTCTATCGAGTTTCCGGGAAATCAATGGCCCAATTCAGCCAATTCTACATCGTTCTCCCGCCGTGATTTTGCTCATCATATGCACACTTACTGCCGCATCCTGCTCACTTCCAGAGCAAGGCATCATGATACATTATAATGAAGGGGGCAGCACACGACGCAACAACCAACTCGACTTTCATGCTTGGGTGGTTTTAGAGCAGTAAAAGTGGTGACGCTTGAGGACGCTACGTTGGCAACATTCTCAGCAGAGCTAGTCGTAAACACAGATCGCCCACTTCGCACCATGCATGTTACATGTGTGTCATGAATTTGCTTGCATCCTCAACATAATTGAGACTAGGCCTAGCTCGAACAAAACAGACCCAGCATCAGCTTGGGTGACTGAGTAAGTTGTTCACTTCGTCACCGGTACCGAAGACGGTTTTATGTAAAGAGGACTCTTCATTCCTCAATGGTCTGATAAAGAGAAATAGCAGAGAGGAATATCATAGACGAATTTGGATTAAAGTCTGTAATTTATTCTTTGGCCCGTAACCAGTCATCTGGAACAACATTCAAAACCTTATTTTCTGTGTACTAACAGCTAAATTTGCTGTTGTGAAAAAAAAGTGTAAATACTAAAATTGCAATAAAGAAAATCCTGTCATTTTATTCTCCATTAAAACTTGGCATGGTAACTCTGCTCAGCAAACAATATTCAACTCAGAGAGAGAGATATGTCAGCTTCCTTTGCTAGTTTGTTTTCGTCTTGGTTTAAGAATCAGCTAATTCAAACTTGAACATGAAATAAATTACCTTTATAGCCACAAAAGATTTTTATCGATTTTTATATAGATATGACATATCTCAGAAATTGTTTACTTTATTCCTGATGGCTGTGATGTCAAACGAAAGCAACATGTAAATCTGTGCAAAATGGTAACAATTATAAAAGCCACCTTGCTCAAGTGCATCATTTGTCATCTTTTAAAAAGCTTTATAATAAAAAATAAACATCCTCTGGGATTTAATCTAAGTTCAAGCTTACTTCCTCGAGCTGAGGTTAAGTACAGCACTACTAAGGAAATCTGTATAAAATATATCAGGGTAGGTAAGACATGTTATTTCCCTACTCCTTGTAACTCTTGACATGTTATTTCCCTACTCCTTGTAACTCTTGATTTCAAAATCAGGTCAGGTCACCAGTCTTGGGGATAACAAATGCTCCAAGGTGGACAAATCAGTGGTTTTTTTACACCTAGTTTTCTTCATTCCAACCATGCCTATTTTTCTACTACAGCATACATACTGCCTTGTACCTCCCACAGTGGGAGGAATATGCCTACAGGTGACAGGAAAGAGTTTTCTGTTTTCTATCTGAAATTCTCCACACTTTCTTCTATTACAAAATTATGCATTCTGAGTAAACTCCATTTCGTAATGTTTTTATCTCAACATGGTATGATAGCATGTAATGCCACTATGGGAAAGCAACATGACCATTGTACTACTTGAGTCTAACATCAAATTCACCGAATGTCCACTCTGAAAATTTTGTCACAACCCCCTTATTAGCTCGCCCCGTCATTAGACCCTGAGCCTACACTACTCATGCTTAAACTCAATCACCTTGGAAACAGTTTTTCAGTAGCATGTCCAATGTGTATTTATGGTGTTACAAAAAACATATTTCTATCCCCAAAGTAAGGCAAGCCAAACAGTCATATAAAAACTAGTAAAGACAACTGCTTCTTCAATATTTTACACATTGGCCGTTCATTTTACATACAAAAAATATGATGGTTGGGAAATGGGATGGCCACTGGTCAAGCTTCAAAAATAGATTTTGTATCAAAATACAGGAATATTTCCCTCACAAAGATAGTGTAAGTAACACAGGGGAGCATGAATGGATTGGTGTGGCAACCTCACCTCCTTTGGCAACTCCCATCTACCCTGGAAAATTTCAAATGCTATTTTTTTTGGGGGGTGGCAGGTGTTTCCATCTGTACTGTGGTGATACCCATTGCTTTTATGTGGATAGAGCTATTTAAAAAGGTTCTTGAGAGAGCCATCCATTATAACCCCACCCCCACAGTGGGTTTTTCCAGGAATGAGAGAGGGGCAATTTTAGTACTCTCTTCTATTTTCCTGCCATCTGAGAGTATGTAACAGTCCCAAAATGCAAACACCCCCTCAGAATAGCCACAGTAAGATTACTTTAATATTCTCCCCCCTCCAAAAAAAAATTTGGTCCTAGATCTGCCCTCGCCCCCTGGTCCTTTTAATCCAAGAACAATGCTACTTCTTGCCCATCATGATATCAATGTTTGTACTTGTGAGACGGACTGCATGATGATCAACTGTAACTTTTTTCTTCAGAACAGCTAATACAGCCCCGTGTTTTGATGGACGCTGGCCCATTCTGCTTTAAGGCTTCTGAACACTCTCACTGTCACATATCACTGATCAGCCAAATTTGAACTCAAGACAAAATTACCTTTGGAGAATTTAAGAAAAAATCTCAGTTACTGCCATCAACACAGAAATGGTAGTCGGGTTCCTGCTGTGTTGTCAATTTTATCCCCTAAATTCAAAAAACTATTGATAATTAATTCTTTTATAATGACCACTGCATGTATCTGCACCAGTCCACACAAAAAATATATTTCCAGATAATTAAACAAACTTTGAATAGCTTCCAATACATACAGATTATATCCATGGTCTTTTTCTGACTGAAAAATACCAAAATTTAAAACATGTTACATCAGTCCCATATATATGTGATTTGTCGATAATCTTGTAAAATCAATGTATTTATATAAATGCTGTATACTCGTCCGACAGCTTGTGAAAAAATTCACAAGCTTACTCGGGTGGGACTTGAACCCATGACCTCCTGCTTACTAGTGCAGATGTCTTAACCACTCAACCACTGAGCTTGCCAAGGTCAGCTGGCCAGTCCGAGTCAGATGTAAGGGCAAAACCCGTAATTAAAATTAGCATCTCCCCGATGCAAAGAGCATCTTAAAAATCAATCTAGAGATACAAAATATATATGATATACTTGTTATCCATCTAAATATGCATTTAATCTCTCTGAATGGAGGTTTGCCTGGGTAAAAATATTGTCTGGGTCAGATGATGTAATTTCAAGAATATTTACAAAAGCTTTGTCTAGAGTGTGGAGGGTTCAGTTTTAAACAAATGTGAAAGCCCTGTCATCTTTCTTGTCGATGTCAGCCATTTGGACATCTGAATAGAAGTCTGACGACAAGTAATCCTGGGAAGCCTGATTCATGGTGATGTGCATGTCATCAGAGAAGAAACGTGTTACCGGCTGGTCACGTTTGTCGTCAGGGTGACCCTGCATCTGTAAGGCGTGACAGCCGTCCGGCAGGGTGCCATCATCAACTTGCCGTTTCACTGGGAAAGAGTCTAACTGTTCAAACATCTTTTCAAATACGGATCCATTGCTGCTGCCCCCACAGGAGGCTGTGTCCTTGAAGAAATTGTTGCTGTCATAAGCTGAATCCATTGAGATCTGGGGAGAGATGGAAGTCAGCAGGGGCTGCTGGGACAGGCTCGGCCTGGGCGACTCCAACAATACCTTCCGGGTTCCTTTGCCATTGTTATTATTGTGATACCACTTGGGTTCTCTCTTGATCACTTCCTTCATGGCCTCGATAGCATCATGTAGTGGTTTCCCCATCTGCAGATTTGGGTATGCGAACTCCTCCAGGTCCGGGACGTGGCGTTTGGAGCGCGGGCTGTCCTTGACTTTGTTGTGAATCCGCAGGAAGAGGGTCTCCATGCACTTCATTAGGCGGTACTTGGCAAAGCACCTGAACGGAGCAGGAATGTCCTCCTCACTGGAGTAGTCAAAGAAGCAAACCACAAACTTCTCACAGGCACCATCGCGATTGAAATGTGCCTCAAGAAGGGTGAGTGCCTGGACGAACACGTCGCCGTAGACTCCATCTGAGCTTCTAGTCGCCTTCTGTCGTGCCTTGTCCTTGTATTTCTTACCCGTCCCCTTGGAGCACAGCAGCAGAACTATGTCTGCCCTTTCAATCTCACTGTCAAGCCACATTGTGATAGTGGGGGCCACTGATGTCTGCCAGTCCACCAGAGAAACATCACAACGGCAGTGTGCCTCCAGAAAGCGGCAGAAGCACTGAATGACTGCTTTGTGTTTGGGGTGGTCATCCGAGTAAATTGGCAGGACACGTCTAGACCTACGACGAACTTCTTCTATGTGTCCATCTAATTCAGCAAAAACCAAACAAAAAAGCTTATTTGATTTTATGCCATTGTTTGTGCCTCACAACTGTGAATTTTAAGACAGGGGACAAAGAAATTGTATCTGCTAAAATTTCACCTTGAGATTGTGAATTGACACAATTTTTCTTCTACTTTGCATTCATCTTCAATGTATGAAAACTGGTTTACTTTCCTATTTGGTTAAGTGCATTGAAAAGTGCATACTTTTCAACAATTAAACGTATCCCTGCTTTCCTGGACAAATGAGGGCGCTGTTGCTGTGAAGTCATCTAGGGAAAACACAGTTTAGAGCACAGGTGTTTCCGTTCAAATCGTGAACTGAGAATTCAGTAACTGAAAACATTTCTGAGAGAGCAACTGATGCTTTCTTATTGCTATGCATGTACATAACAATAAATCAGCAAAGAGAAAACTGAGTCCAGGTAAATATATCAATGTAACATTGAGGCCTCTTCCTGGGATGTCATCACAACTTTGCTCATAAATATGGAAATATCATTAATAAAAACCAAAGTGGAAAGTAAAATCAAACGCGACATAAAAGTGCATTTCGGAGGTTTGCATTCAAAAATATTGATTATAGCTACCCTTTAACCACTTGCCGCTGGGATTTCCAGTACCGGACACATATTCTTTATACGCGTGGCATGGGGTCTCCGAAATCGGACAAAGGGAATTGGGACTTGTAACAAAAAAACGCACTCAAAACAAAAGACCAGGCTGCTGGGCATTACCAACATTTTTTCAATCTCAATAGTGGAGATAAACCAGCCTTGTTTGGAAACAGCATACCACGGTTTAGGGGAATTAGCGCGAGCGGATTACCACCGGGGACAAAAGCGTGCCACCAACGCAGCGATGAGCCACACAGTACCGCTGCACGCTAATCTGGCCCCTATTGAAAAGAGGTCAGCAACGCACTGTGCCAGCTTTGTGAACAAAAGAAAAATACGTAACACTGCCCAATCTGGGCTCTTTTTACAAGGCAGCAGGCCTGGCTGAAATACCCCAGTGTCAATATATGTGTCTGTCAGATCAGAGTAGAAACCAGACAGTCCTTTCTGTGGGTGTAAGTGTCCAGTAAATGAAGATAGGAATTTTTAAAGAATTTTGAAACCAGAAACAAATGATCAGTATCCCACCCCAGCATCATCAACTATGATAACTGCCACTAGCGCGAAGTGCTTAAAGATGATCAGTAGGCCCTAATAAATACCAGTGTCTCCTAAACCTTCAAAATATTACGGCGGTGTTTTCTGGGGATGCACAGAACTAAAAATGGTATATTGAAACACTGTATTAGAAATTCTAAAGGCTCTGTGGTACTGTATGATTAAAATTACAAGATAAAATAGCGCAGCAAATATCATGACTGCCCGTAAAAATTGTGACTTTTTGGCACTGCTGTTAAGACATAAGTACTTGTATGAGCACTTCAGTAAACTACCGTACAAATGAGTACCTTGTGACTCTGGTTTAGTCAGAATTTCTGGCGGATGGCGTCTCTGGCGAATCACAAAAACCACCAACACAAACAGGATCAATCCGGCTAGACAGCTGGCAACCACAATGCCGACAATCTTTCCGATTGAGGTCTTCTCTGTGGATAGAGCAACACGGTGATTCGGCATTAAGTGTTCACATTTTCACTCACCGGTTCTGTCAGTGGGTTCTGTAAGTACATGGAAGTTGCTGCAGACTTCAATCAAGAAACACCTAGCTGTCATTGGAAATTCCACTTGGTCACTCAAATTACAATTTGAAATTGAGAATTTGAAAGATGAGTACTTGTAGTTTAACCACTTTATATGTCCCTAAATTCTGCACTGACTTACCCACGCATTTCTTTTGTGTTTCTTGATACTCAAATCCATCATAGCATGTACAGTAATAGTCCATTCGTTTTTTAGTGTACTGGCAAACGCCATTTTCACACTGATGCATCGAGTCCTTTTCATTTGCTGCCAGAACCATACAAGGGTCCACTGAATGAATGAAAAAAAGGGGTTTACAGAAAATGGTTGGTTTATGGTGAAGCTTTTACGATGATTTTAAGCCTGTGAAATGAAGACAAAAGGACATGTATACATATACAGTCAACTCTCGTTATTACGAGATCCCTGGGACCCTGTAGAAACGTTCGTTGTATCCGAAATTCATTGTAGGCGGCACGCAGTGCAATGGCTTCAGTGCATTGTTGTACAATGCCATGTACATGCATATGCACGTGTATGCATGTATGGGCATACACGTAAAAGCGTGGTTGATGTTATATCAAAAAGATCTCTCAGTTATAATTAATCAAATATATTGTGATGTGTTTAGAATAATAAACTTCACTGTCATATGAAAACATGTTTAATGTGCATGTGAGATTAATAAAAGCAAATAATGTACATGTGATGAAAGCATCAATCCAGGGATTTTTAAAAGGCTTTCTATCACCATGGATGACAATGACGCAAAACGGCATGCACATGTAGGCCAGTGTGTACCTGCAAGACTCATCAACGGGAGCCCCCATCCATGTAAGTAATCTTTCCAACAAAAATTGTGTCATGGAGAGACATTTTTATTAAATTTTCCGTCTGTCTTATGATTTTCAACACTAGCTGCATGACACGATTGATAGTCTGAGTTCACCCGCCCACTGTGGCGAGGCTGCCCGCGTGCGAGTTGGTCGCTGATGGAGCATGATGTCATGAAGGAATATTGCAATTGGATACCTGTGTCTCACAAAATGTACGTCATGAAAACACACAGTCTCATTGGCCGGTACGCTAGATCTTTTTGCAGCAATATGAATAATTCAGTGCTGGGCGAACACTTGGGCTCTTGAGAGATGAGAGTAGCCAAGCGAACTAATTTGGCCGTATTTTTATCACGTTCGCGCTGTTACTCCTTTTAAAACAAGTAGGATGCGTGCGCATGACACTCAGGTGCAGAAGTTTAATACTCTCCCTCTAGCGAGAGTATACTCTCAATGACTCGCAGGTCATACTTAAGCCGTTGACCCATTCAGGAGTACACTCGTATTAATAGAGTAGCATCCCATCATTATCAAAGGGGTTTACGACTGACTGAGTTTCATGCATGCTACAGGCATAAAAGACCTTACAATGTCACATCATTCAAATGGGATGTTTATGACATAAATCGGTACTAAATCTGCTGAAGGGATTTCCTTATAAAAACACCTGAAATGCAACCCAGTTGAGTTGTTGACTCACTCTCCATTGAAAGAGGTATCTTCCACTGGTACTTGGCTTCTTACCTAGGCAAGTCTGATTCCATGCCATGTAGCCAGCAGTGCAGTTACAGGTGTATATCTTCTGGTTTGGTATACATTGGCCGATAGCTGCTTCCCCGCATGGATTCCCCTTGCAAGGATTGGCTGGACAAGAGTTTGGGAGAGCAAAGAAATTTAGAGAATCTCAAACACAGAATTCTGTGCAAACGGTTGGTGTATTGTAGTATGTGTCCAACAAGGATTCCGTGCTTTATGTGTTACCTCAGAAATCCTTAGTTCAGGCAAATCCATAACCCAAAGATGTTAGAGGATATGGTAGACAATTTTATAGAAAGATATGACCAAAGCAAAACACTCCCCCCTTCATAAATTCCTTTTTCAACATAACTCTCATTTTGGCACAAGTTTTGAAGCTTGGCAATAACTTGGATCCTATCTATTCCAGAAACAAGAGAGGAGGTGTGTTGACATTGCTGGTATCTGCAGTACGAATGTGTGAATGCACTTGGACAAAGCATGTGCAACTTATTTGGTTGACATGTACGGTCTTTATGGGTGAAGTGGGCATGTACTCCAGTGCCGATGGGAAAACCTTCCCACAGTGGGGGTTGGGTCTAGAGTGGATACACTGTGCTTGGAATGCAACTTTAACTGATGGCCGGTAAATTGTATGAAGCTGTCGGAGGACTTGAATTATACTTGTACCTCACCTATTAGATGGAATGGGCTACTGTAGGTTCGCTTGCATGATATTTCTTCGCCCTCTACATTCAAGCACTGTTTCTGTGAGGTCGGTCTGGGTTGAACCTGAAGAGAAAAAACAGCAGCAAAAGTATATGTACAGAAAAAGGCTTCTAAGGTTTGTGCATTCATGTTAATGTTGTGACTTTGTGACTTTAAAAATTCCTACACATGGTCAATCATAAATGCTGATTCAGTTGACAGGAAAAAAGTTGGAAACCTTACAATTTTGGGCCAAATCGGTTTTCAGAAAATTGTAGGATTACATCTTATACAAAGGAACCCCTAAGTGCATATCACGTGGCAAATAATGGTTGATGGACTGACACACCACTTTGACTTACCACGGCAACAAAGTCGGTTTCCAGGCTGCCAGACCAGCCTGTTATGTTAAATCTGTGCTGTAATGTTGGCTCATATGAACTTGAGCAATTACGATCTGCAACAGAACTCTGTTCAACCACAAGGGAGTAAAAAGATTGTAAACTGTTAGTTTTTGTTATATCTCACACAAAAAATCTCTTCGGACTAAAACCTTAAAATGCGCCAGGTTTTGGGACCATATCTCACGCCCCATACCTTGACTGTACCATTCATAATTTTCATGCTTGTAAAGATGATTCATTATATATTGTAAGTGTATAATGAATGCTTTACTTCATCAGGTCATAAATGTGTATACAAAACAGGCTTTCACACTTGCTTGTCAGAAGTTGGCCTTTTTTGTATTCACTTCTTTATTTTTGCATTTTAATAAAAAACAGAGAAAAATCCGCAGTAGGACCTGACGATGTCCAATGTATGACAGATTTCATTTTCTGTTCCAAGGCTTCTGCTTCTAACATAGCCCATAATACTGACTTCTGTGATAAATGTTTTATGAATTTACTGACACACACAAAAAGGTCATTTTTCCAAAAAGTGTATGAATTAGTTAATATTTTGCTTGAACTAAATACCCAAACACAATAAAAAAACAAACAAACTCCAAAACATCATGTTCTTGATCTTGTGCTAATCTCTTGATAGTCTTTAGAGTGATCTCAACTGAGGTGGAACCAGTTTAAACTACGGGGCAGAACATTATAACCCAAGTCACACACTTGTTGCCTAGTTAAGTAACTTTCCGCATCTCAATGCTGGAACATCTACTTATGGGGAAACAATGGTAGAATTAAGCTTTGGGATTCAGATGTTGGGAACAGCAACATGCCACACCTGCGAAGGCAGGGGGGAAGACTTCTTCTTCTGTCTTGCGGGAAGCTCTGTGAGGATGCAGGAGGTGGGGTCAAGCTAAGCCAGGGAGGGCTGGAAAATAGTTCATGTCAGAGTCGTAGCTCGACAACATGACTTTAGGTAGTACTAAAATGCAACGAACTAATTGTAAAGGTGTACTTCAACAGCACCCACCATGTATAAAAACTCTGAATCCTCTGGCCGCCCTAGGGGAGAATCTGGGGCATATTCATAGATGTACAGTCCATATCGATTGAAGTTATAGCTCACTGGAGCCACACCAAAAATAATCTCCACTATGTCGTATTCACCACTGCTGGCTTTCTGGGTCACATGGAAACACTCTGGTGACCAACGAGCTGTAAGCAGGTTAGTAGTGGGAAAGGCAGTTTTAAACAAATTAAAAATCATGCATGGAAAGGTTGAAAACAAACCTCTAAATCATGCAAAAACAAGTAAATTGCCAATTTCAGACATGGGTATTTCCAGGAATTAGGAGTCCAAGAGTGTGACATTTTCGTGTCTGTGTTACATCTGACCTTTTGATTTCAAAATTGATTTCAAACTATTACTATTTGTTTGGCAGGTAATTTGTATTAATTCATCACTCTTGGAAATTAGAAAATGTGTTCTGAACTTACAAAATCATATGTCAGATGTGACAGGGACACGAAAACATATTGAAACCTGATTTCTGGAATTATCCACATGCTATTCCTGTGTTTGGGCTTAAATTTTTAACCCTAAAATTTCATAACGAGTGCATCTATGAAGACTCGATCCAAAGTAGGGTTTTATAGTTATGGTAATTTCAAGATCATGGCCTCACATGTTCTGGAGCCTGTGTTTTCAGTGAATCAATAAAGACAGCTTTTAGCTGACACATATTGGCAAAATGCGCTCCTTGCTAACACTATGTCCAATTTCCATTCTAATGGTGTCAAAATAGTTGCAATTATAAGAAACAAACATAGTCTCTTGCAACAATATTGGAGAAAAGTTTAGTGTTTATCCTTCTCTTTGTCTGTCTTCAAATAGAAAAGCCAATCTTTGCAGGTGCGAGATGCCCACAGAAGCAAAGCCACACCATGCAAGAGGCAATTAGCATTAGACAAGTCGTACAGATCTTCACTAATGTGAGAAGCCCTCAGAAAGCACCCTACGACACAGTCTGTATGCACTAATAAACACACAGTGCAAAAATCAATAAGCATATAATCAATGCTCAGTTTTCTGAGAATATTTCAAAGTTGAACAAAAAAGCATGATAGCATTGGAGAAAACAAAAGATGTGTTTCTATATGTATCTATCAAGCAAAACAAAAGGTTAAGCAGTTAACTGGTTCCAACAAATGAAAACCAACCTGACACAATTGTGAGTAGTAGGAAACTACGGTATTAAACACAGTACAATATGATGTGGTCCTTCGAAAAGAAATAGTTTACATTTATTCAAATCCCTGAATTTACCAGAGTCGACCTTAAAATGGTAGATTTTCTTTAGAGCACACTTTGTCGGAAAGCCTACCCTCTGCACTTGTCTGACAGCGAACATCTTGTGTTTTGTCTGGCTGACCACAATCTGAGAAAGAAAATTAAAATGGGAAAAAAGTCTCACTCGGGAAGCACCTCGGTTGCCACTTAACAAAGAAGTGTGAGATTCGAGCTTTCCCCCTTCCCCAGGAGAAACTAGTTTAGAAAAACTAGAATAGTCAGATCACGTTTACTGCACACCACAAACACAACAAGTCACAGGCCTAACTAATAGCATGCTCTAGCTACAGTCAAGTTACATAATATCTGTGCATTAAGGTCTACATGTACATACCTGAGGGTATATAAGGTATTTCAACTTTAGTGTCATCTGGATCATTAGGGGTGTCATCCACAGGCAATGTTCGAACGGTGACCCTATACGAAATACCAGGCTTCAAGCCACAGAAGCACTCAATGGAGAATAAACGCTGCACAAAAAAAACACACAATAGATCATAACTGGAAGGGCAGGTCAATTTTTGAAAATGCAATGGCCACAGTTATGGCGACCATAACAAAATTTCTAAATTAGCACTGTTCACTATAGGCAGCACCACCTACGTGACATTTCAACAATATCAGTGACATTTTACAATGCCTCAGCAGTGCGCATACTATGCACAAGGTGATGGGTTCCGGTCAGGTGCAGTTTTTGGGGGGTCTTTATTCCTTTTTTTATCTCAGTTGAATCCTGTCTTCACGTTTAAGTAGAAGCTTTTCCTTTTTTTTGCCTGTGGAGTCTTTTGAAGGAAGAAACAAAAGTGTGAGATCCATTGGAACTTGAGCTTGACTGCTGCACAAGGCATGTCCTGTATCCATTGTCAGTTGACTTGTTCTTGAAACCACTGGCCTAGGGTAGGCTATATTCGATAACGCACTTGTACCACAGGTGTGGAACTGTTTTCAGCCGGAAATGGCTTAGCTCATTTTGAAAAATGACACACCGCAACCGCAGTCCTTTCAGTTAGTTGGACTTTACAAATGTCGACCTCCAGTGGTTGTTTGTTCAGAATTTGCATGAACTTTCCTCCAAAATATGGCCATATTAAAATAAAAACAGCAGTGCTGCTAAACAATATTTGCTACACGGCCCCTTGAAGGCAACACACACACTCAGCCTTCATGGACTATAGTTTGAGCCTCAAGTACAAATTCTATGGGAATCACTCAAGCTTGGGGAGTACCATATAGACATCACCTGCTACTGCATGCAGAATTTGACAAAACATATTTATCATCCCAGCTTGGCAACACAGGAAATGCCTATGTATTTACATGTTCCGGTGTCAAGTGGCAAAAAAGTGAAGGTTTTTGACCACTTCAATGTCATATTATATATCATCTGCAAGTGGTCACACTATAGGCCTTATGTGATATCCTTACGTCTTCCACTGCATAGTAATGCAAGCCTTGGTCGCTGAAGTTGAGGTTCATGCAGTAATTGAGGTTCAGATCCGGCTGATTGTGCCCACGAACAGAAAACTGTATTCCCTTCACTTTATTTGCCGCTGTGGATCAAACAGAGCAAAATTATGGCAAGTTGCCTCTTTTTTCACGTTTGTAGATATCATTAGGACTTGAACATGTAATCTTCATGAAACCTAGCTGCGGAATGCAGTGCAATTAAACTCATCTGTAATATTCTCTAAAAGCCACAATCATCATCCTCACTCACAATATTGATTGATGCTGTACGTGATGTTCAGACAGGTGTACTGTTCTTGGGTACAATCTTGGCATCCAGGAGGCATGAATAACTTGTTGAAGTCGGCAACCTCAACAGCTTCGGCCTTTCCTGGCCTTTCATTTGGCGTAAGAGGGAGGCTAAACGGATATTGGCAAACGTCTGTATCGGAAAAACCATGACATGAGGTTTTAAACATGATATACACGTATAAACCGATGGTATTTTAAAGCGTGGTTCAAATTAAAGCAGTCTAAGGCTGCATTCGAATCTGTTGTCTAGAGCTAGGTCTAGGTCTTCACTTCATTGAAAGTACGTGGAAACGCACAGACGATAGACCTAGCCGTAGCTCTGGAATCCCATTTTGGACACGGCCTCTGTTACCATTTTGAGAAAGAACAAGACTGAAAACTCAAGCCAACACGGAAAAAAGTTCCTGAACTTACTTAGACTGCTGTCAAACACAACCCTTTCACAATATTGACGGCCTGGATCTGGACTCTAAACATGGTTCAAAAAGAAAAATGACCCATGAGTAATCTGTGAAGTGAATTTTGAAAGATTAGAAGCTGTAACGATATAATTAGCCAGATGAAAAATGGCAAATGGAAATGACATCAATGAGATAATGACTCTTGATCAGATGTTCAAAAACAGGTCAAGAAAGAAAAAAATCCAAACTTGAATTGAGGTGAAACAATGGCTGAAAACAGCCAAGTGCTTCAGAAAGCAAAAGTGAATCCTTCCCCATATTTACCCTTGATGAAGATCATACCCAGATACGAGTACTGCAAGCAAAATATGTATGCAAACTTGGCTTTCTCCAATAATCATTCGGAAAGCAAAACTTATGCTCATTCTCTCCCGTGCATTGGCTTGGAGAAAGCACTGAACCCCAGCCAAAAAAGAAATACATGTAGTTCTGCTTCCTATAAAATGTACGTGACATTGAGGTTTAGAGGTTTATGGTGGCACTAAGAAAGGATCTCTCTTTCTGAGCATGTGTGGCTCTGAAAAGAACTAAACATGACATTTAAAAACAAGTTTGGTTATGTGCAGATATTTATTTTATACATAGGTGCTTAAGAATGGCAGCAGAAAAAGAGGTTCAAATGAACAATACCTAAAGGTGTGCCTCACAGCATCAACGGATTTGAGCATCTTAAGAATCTTCATTTAAAAATCCCAATTTTTGTTTCCTCAAATTAATCTCAAATCTTTCCCTAAGTCATCGGGTCTCGGCTCAA